AGTTGGACCAATAAGAAGGTACAGCTACAGACTTTCATATTGTAAACAAAGCAGGCAGCCTTAAAATCTTACAGTAAGACCAGGGCAGGGTTTCAGAAGGTCAGCAAGTGTGAAGTGGCATGAGCTTTGAGGCAGATAGCCTTTCTAACTGTAGCTTGTGCCTCCCTGTCCAGTCAGGCTTGAGGACCCTCCTTCTTAGTGCTTCTCTGGTGGGTCTTTCAAATGAGAGCAGAGTTTTTTTTGTCTGTTATCCCAGCACTCAAGAAAATCAGACTACACATAATGTGTGTCTCATAAAGCAGTAGAGCCAGCAAAATAGTAGGCGAGGCCAGAACCAGGCCTGACAACCTGGGTTGGGTATCTGGGCTCATATGGTGGAGAGAGCTTATTCTTGCAACGTGCACCTTATGCATATGCACACATAATAAATGAAACAAATGAAAATCCATTAAAAATTTTTAAAATTGAGATGTGAAAAATACAGTGAAGTTTTAAGATTTCCATGTCCTAAGCTCAGCTGGCTCCTAGAAGTGCTGAAGGGTTCAGTGGTTTAGTGGAAAGCCATTTCACTGTTAATGCAAGGTATGGCGGACTGTGGAGGAAAAGCATATTGATAACTCTACGGAGCACTGTGCTCTTTTCTCATACTTAACAGGAGGATATCTTGGTGGTGAGTCAGTTACATCATGCGACTGAAAAAGGCTACTAATAACAAGGTGTTCCATATGTACAGTGTCAGCCATAGTAAATTATTAGAAACACTTAGAACTTATTATAACAAAATATCCCATGTGGCAGAGCTTGTCTAACTATGTCTATTGTCATCACTATGTCTATTGAAATATGAAATTGAAGTTTCAGTCTAACCCAACCCTTAACACTTCAGGCCCTTTGAACGGACAGTTACTATGCATAAGGACAGCAGTGGGCATGTTGGCTTTATCTTTAAAAGTGGAAAAATCACATCCATAGTGAAAGATAGTTCTGCTGCCAGAAATGGCCTTCTCACTGATCACCACATCTGTGAGATCAACGGACAGAACGTCATTGGCTTGAAGGTAAGGGACTCAACATGACCCTGGTGTCGGTGTCACTTCTTTGTAGAAAACATGATATAGGTGGTGGGGCTTTTGTGATGACCCCCAAACATTGACACTTGGTGGGAATAAGTGCAGGAGCTGGGGCTCCGGCTCTAGCTTAAGCCATCACAGAAATAACTCTGGGGTGTTACTTCCATTATCTTTCCCATACTGAGGTGGCTAAACTGTGATTCCTGGCATCTCTAAAGCTAGAATTCTATGGAGATATGGGCAGGGAGATACTTAGACATTCTGAATGGATACATGTCCAATATTTTCAGTAAAAGGAATAAGTCTTGGTATATAGTAATATTTTTTTTATAGATTTTGATTAACACTCTAGACCATAAATTCTAGAATACAGTTAAGTGTTTATGGTGCAAGCTGTTCTCAAGTAAGGAAACAGTTTTGACCAGTGCCTTCAACTTTGTTACTAGCTTAAGAGAATTGTATCTGTAAGATTAAAATTAAAATTCAGACATACCAGGGACTGGGACTCCAGAGACATCAGCAAGACAACATCAAATATAGTGTGTTTCTTACTTAACAGTAACAGTTTTATGTTTATTAAATAAAGCCTTAGTGAAATGTAATTCTATTATGTTTCATTAGGATGCTCAGATTGCAGATATACTGTCAACAGCTGGGACTGTGGTTACCATCACAATCATGCCTGCTTTTATCTTCGAACATATTATTAAACGGTAAGTGGCTAGCTCTTAACTTTACACTTGCCAGCACCTGACATAAATGTAAACACTACTTTCGGCTTGCAGGTCGTCTGCAAATTAGAAATCTAGTCATGGTGGTTCGTGATGGATTGCTTGCCTGTGAGGTATTAAGAGCGGCTGTTGCTGTTCTTTTCTGTGTGTCAGGACGTAGAGAGGTGCATGGTGCTTGCTATCTCTGTGGGAACTGAGGAGTGTGGAGCCCATGAGAGCTGACAAAGTCCAGCAAGGGGCGATTCTATCCAGAGCTTTTCAACTCATAGCTGTTAACCACGCTACCTTGGAAACACTTGTTCCAGCGTCCTGATTTAGCACATGAAAGTGAGATTTGGAATAGACATAGACTTTGTAATGGAATTTTTGTCTATATTTTTTGGTTTTGGGTAGAATGCAGCTGGCTACCCTCAGAGCAGGGAAAAGAGTTGATTGTTCTACAGTCTTGTTTCTTTTTAACTACCGGTAGGTTCCTTATCCCCCTCCTTTCTTTCATCCCACTCTTGCTGTTTTAGTTAAACAGCCAGTCTTAATGTAAAGGACTCGCACCTTCTCTAACATGTCATAACATACCCATTCTTCCTGGACAGTTTCTGACAATTCAGTTATCAGTTCCTTAGACCTGAGCTCATTTAAAGACGTTTCCTCCTTCCTCAAATTTATTAATGACAACATTGACAAACTGGAATGGAGTTGTCTTGGATTAACATGGTATTTTTGAAAATAAGACATCAGTTATATAATGTGTGGCTCTCTTGCAGGATGGCTCCCAGCATTATGAAAAGCCTGATGGATCACACCATTCCTGAAGTTTAAAACCCTCGTACAATGCATCACAGCTGAATGTTTCCCGTTTTCCTCTTCAGCAACTTCTCTATTTCGCACATGAAGCTTTCCCGGAGCCAGGGAGCATATGCTGCATGGAGACCTTTCTTTCTTCCGTCATAGCTGGGAATCGCACTCTATCTGATATCGTCTTCAGATTTTAAGATAGGTGTAGCCTTAGCCTGGTTTTACAGATGTGAAACTCAAAAGATTTACTGATTTTCCTCGACGTGGTTCTTTACTAGGAACCTGATGTTTTTATATAAGCCATTGTGATTAGGATGACTGGTGTAGGCTTAGCTGTGTGTGAGAACTGGTCAGCTTTCTCCTAGAACAAAGCACAGTGCTAGTCATGTGCTTCAGTTCTGTGGCATACTTGGATTTTAGTACATCAGCATAGTACATATAGGATGATTGCCTTTTTTTTTTAAGTTTTCTTTGTGTGAGTGTGTAAAATTGCATTAATTAACACTCTTTTCATTCCACAAAAGCATTATACAGTTGTGTGTAGGTTGCAAGAGACTGTAATGATTGTCATAAATTTTAACTACCTTCACTTAATATGCTTCAATTGTCGCCTTAACTACAGTCAGCATTTAGAATAAAAGCCAAAATAGAATTATTGCTGCCTTCTGAAACCTGAGATGTTAGCTCTCTATTAAGCTGTTCTGTGCTAACCCTGAGCAGCTTCTTGGTAAAGCAGAGCTGCCAAGTTGTATCATGATTTTCTAGTCACTGCATAAAGGAAACGCCTAAGAGTTGCCGTAGTGCTTTCTGAGAAACAAATTGCTATATATTTCGTGTAAAAGTTGTTATACTAAATAGAATAAATTTTGGAGTCTCTTTTTCACTTGTAGATTAAGTGGGTAATATCTAATTTGACATTTGGGTTCTAACATTATGTAACCTTAGCTAGGTTGGGGTGGTTTTAGAATGTTTCCCTAATCATCTTAATTTGTTCCATTTTCTGACTCCGTCCTGTAAACAAAAATGGCAATGACACTTTATCCTGATTGTTTTTCCTTCTTAGTTTGTGCCTCTCCTATTATTTTATGTGATATTATCCTATTAAATGTATAAAAATGGTAAATTTTAGTCTGTGATTGCATCAGTCCTCACCATGATGTTGACACCCAGGGTTTCTAAGAACAGTCTTAGAGCTCAGACTGCCTGGAAATATACTTACTGGGCGCCCTTATTGGCCAGTGTGTGGCCTCCCTCACCCTGCACACTTGATGTCATGGAACCATACTTGCTGGGAGGCCTAGATGCCCAGCCTGTGGCCACCTTCACCCTGCACATTTGACATCGTTGACGAAGGAACCTGGAAAGGCTGCTTTGTCTCTAGTGAAACCAGAGACCATCCACATGTATTGGTGACACTTAAGGTTCTGCTACTTTAGTCTGGTCCAAGAATTTTTCCTTTTCACTATAACCATGCTTCAATGGCACAGAAATTTGTAATCTTGTAGTTGCTGTTCAGAGACTGAATGTAAAAGAAAATCATTGAAGTTTCTATATAGGCTACATTGTTGGAAATTTATAATTCCCAGTTTGATTATCTACCTTGCTTTCCGGACTTAGTTCTGAATGTAGGTCCCAAAGAAATGAAATTGTATTTGTGTCATTAAGTATGGTTTTGTAGAAGGATTAATACTTGTGATTCTTAAATTATTTAAATAAGACAAGGGGAAAAGTGCTTTCATTACAGAAAAATATTTTTAATGTAGAAAAGATGAACATTTAGTAGCATAATGAAATATAAACCATTGCTATATACAGTAATAGACTTACTGTAATAAGAACAGCTATTCCTCCCCCAGATTCTTAGAATCTGGGCACACAGCATTCATTGCAGAAAGGAACCAGTCCGTGAAAACACATCAAAGAACCGTGTTACCATCAGAACCTGGACAGCTTGGATCAGAGGCTCCTACACCTCTTGGGGACTGAGCTGGCCAGTGCTGTCCGATGTTCTTCAGTCCAACTGGGTATTTTTCTTGTCCTGAACACCTGTGTGATGGTCCTGTCTTAGAATGTTCTTTGCCCTAACATGGGCATGTTTTATGTGCTTAATGGATGACAACAACAAATGGCTTTGAGTGAAGTCACCATGATTTAGGAAGTTGAAACCACAAATTCTTCATGTGGTAAAACTTCTAAGTACTATCATTGCACATTCACCAGTTAAAAGTTTGGTTTAAAAATACATTAGAATTGAACTTGATAGAGAGGAAAAGGCACTTAATACTGCAATTTCCAGAACATAATTTGTCTGTCTTCCCCTCCTGTGATGATACTGCTACACTGTTCATTCATCCATATGCATGTCACAGCACCTGAAAGAGATTTCCGTTAGAGAGGAGTGCAACCAAAGGCAGACATGGTGCCTGCCATGCTGACTTCTGAGTTCTGACACAGGAAGTAATCACCATACCTCGTATTCTTATTATAAACTATGTAAAGTTTAAAAACACTTGCTTCTACAGAGAACTTACAAGGAGTGAACCATTTTACTATGACTCTAAAAGCAAATGGTTGATGGAAACACACCTTGGCGAATGGTACAACAAGAAACATCGAGAAATTTATGGAATGGGAAGTGAGCAGCCTGTAGCCAGTCTTGTGATTTTATGCCTTTTCCATTGAAAGGTTCACATAAAAATTGTAGCTGCTAAAAATCCGCTTAACTGAAGGGGAAAGCATAGCTACATAATTTTAAGAGACAGGTTTAAGAAGAAATAAGGCATATGAAAATTGTATGAGAAGAGAGAGAGGAGGCAGTTACGTCTCAGTTCAAACAGTCCTTCAGATGACCAGGAGGATTCAGTGTAAGCAGATGACCCTGGATCTCCAGGAGAGCGTGCAGTGTAAGCACGCTACACTAGACCTCTAGGAGTTTGCAAGAGAGAAGGAAAAGGCAGCAGAAGAGCTTTCCACGATACTGTGCTCTATCCACACAGTGCTTTCAGTAAGATCTATATGGGATTCACTGCCAAACCCTCTCAAGCCTGGGGTATAGGAGTTGCAGCCTGACACCAGTAGGTAGGAGACCTTAGTTTTCCATGGTGCTTTATTTTTGCATTGTCTTTTGGTGACTGCACTATTTTAAAAACTCGGTTACCCAGCTTTGCCATAGTTTTTAATTCTCTATGTGGAAGTAAAGACTTCTTTCAGAGGCTTAAACAAATATAAACCTTAAGGAAACTAAAAGACATAACCATTGGCTAATCAGAATGTGCAGGGGAAATGTTAACGCAGAGAACACATGAGGTGGTGTCTGCCTAAGAGAGTCCTCCCTGTCAGAAATGAGGGTCTGTGTCAAAGGGCCCATCAGCAGATGAAAATAGCTGGACTCCACTCACCTGTGTGGCCCTGTATCCGCTCACTGACTTTTGCTCCAAGGAGGTCCCAAACAAGTAGCTCACCAGACCGACTTCCAGATAAGACGGAATTTCCATCCCAGACAAAGCACCTGCAAGCATGGTCAGGAGACAGTCCATCATAAAAGTATGTGACCCTGGTCAGGCATGACCAAATGAAATGATCACATATATATTGTAAATCTTATCGCTGCCACTTGGCAACTGTACCTCTGTGGTTCCTCTGAGGCCATGGAGGAGATGAGCATGCCTGTCTGCACATCAATCACATTTAGACAGCCATCTACTCCTGTGCTGAGGATGTGACGACTATCTGCCATAAAGACACACATGGAGCTGCTTCAGAAAGTGGCTTTAGTTCTGAATCTACTCCCTGTTTGATTTTCCTTGAGCTCCTTGTATTCTTGAAATGGTTTGTTTTGCTTTCAGTTTCTTAGATCCTATAATGAGTTGACCCTTTGATAATGAGTTCATTTCCATCATCCACGATGATTCCTCCAGGTGAAGAATTAAAAGCAGTATCCAATTTATAAATTACCAGTGCCAAAGTATATGTATCCAGGCAAAACCTCTCATCATCAGTAAGGAATGTTGTTCTATTAAATTAATTTTCAGAGTTCAAATGAACTGTCATTCGTCTTGGAAAGGATAACACCTACCTGGGCTAAAAGCAGCATCACATACTGTCCCTGAATGGCATGAGATCTGGTGTAATAAAGTGGCCGTAGTGAGGTCCCAAATATTCACCATGCCTTCTTTGGTGCCAGAAACTAACAATGTGCTTACAGCATTTAAATTGATAGTATTGACCTAAAAGAAATAGTGATAAATAATTGAGTCAGATTACTCATTAACTATGCGTATCCCAGGCTCATTAAACTATCCTCCCACAATGATAAAAATTAAACCACTGTGCAATGTGCTGGCACAGCTAATGTGATTGTATTACATCTTAGTAGCATTTTATCAAATGGCTATTTGTTTTAAACTGAAGTAAAGTTCTAAGGATGCTAGAAAAAATATAAGTATATGAAGTAATTCAGCGAGTTTTGGTGCTATTCTCAAATAGCCTAGAATAGTCTAAAAAAAAATTAAGTCTGTGGGAGTGTAGAGATGGCTCAGTGGTAATAACATGCACTGCTCTTGTAAGAGAACGTGCGCATGCGCGCGCGCGCACACACACACACACACACACACACACACACACACACAGAATTTTTAAATAAAGTTAAGTTCTTCCCTCCAACCTGCTGTCTGCAAATTCATCATCCTAATTGTAGACTTGCATTGATAAGTTCATCTGTGAATCCCTTTCCTGGCCTACATCAAGAACTGTGGTTTGGAAGAATTCTTTTCTTGGTCCAATTAAATAGCTCATTCACCTTTACCTGACCTAGCTCAGGTGGTGCATCTCCTGCATTGGCCCAATCTAAGGAAGGCCAGACTAACACACCAGACAACCAAAGAAGTCCACATGCCCAGGTCGATTCACAAAAATAAACAATGAAAGACGGCAGCACCATGTCTTCTCACTCACTAATCCTAGAGAAGTGTTCTCTACTCAGAACTCCCTAGATGAACTTTAGAATACAATTTAAAAGAACAATCATACATTTTTATCAAATAATTCATTTAAGAATTTAATGAAGACACAAACACTTCATATAAGTCCATGAACATAACAAACACCTGAGAGACATCCAAGAAACTTCAATAAAAATAATTTGGGACTTCAAAACGGAATTTAATAAAGAGATGGAAAAGGTGAAGAAAGATATAAGCCAAGATGGACTGAAAAATTCTATAACTCAAGAAAATTCAGAGAAAAATCTTCCAAGCAGAAGACAAAGAGGATCGACTTGAAGATCGAGGATCTTGATTAAATAACCAAAGAAAATGAAACTTTTAAAAACATACATGAAAGGAATTTACAGGAAATACAGAACACCATCAAAAGACCAAATCTTCAAATTATAGGTATAAATGAAGCACAGACCAGATCATGTAAGGAAACTTCCTCAATCTAAGAAAAGACCCGTACAAGAAGGTATGGGCACAAAAAGCACACAGAACCTCAACTAGGCAGAACCCAAAAAGAAACACCTCACAGTGTATCAGTCAAAACATTAAATGTACTAAACATAGAGAATAAACTGCAAGAGAAAAAACAAGTCACATGCAAAGGAGAACAAATCAGAATAATTCTAATTCTGCAATGGAAACTCTGAAAACTTGAAGAACTTGGAACAATGCAGTCCACGTTTGAAAAGCCCAACTGCCCACTTTTTACTGTATCCAGCAAAAGTGTCTACCTTAGTTGAAGGAGAAAGAAAAACTTTGCATGGTCTAAACATCTTGGCGGAAAAAACATATCCACTTAGCTGTGCTTAGTCACTCTAGATTGAAAAGAAATGAAGCCTAATTTAATAAAAACCAAGCAACTAAACACAAACCAGAAAGACAAATCAAACCTACTACAGTCTACACATTCATTTCAATAATAACTCTAAATATTAGTGGATTAAAAAAATCCATTATATGTTATTTACAAATAACGTCAGCTTTAAAGATAGGTACCACCTGAAAGGAATGGAAAAAGTATCCCAAGTAGATGGGATACAGAAGGAAACAGGTTTGCCATCCTAATATAAGAAAAGTAGATTAGACTAATCAAGGAGACAATGAAGGGTGCTTCATTCTAATCAAGGCATCAATTAGTCAGAAAAATATGACAATACTAAACATATATACACCAAACTTTGGTGTACCCAAACATACTAATAGAATTAAAAACAGATTAACACAGTTACAATGATAGTAGATAATTTTAGCAACCCACCTTCTTCCATAGATAAGTCATCTGGACAAGTAAGACAAAAAACCCAGAAACTTTAGGATGTTATCTGACTTCACACGATCATAACATAGCTATAGAATATTCTACCAAAATACCAATTAATATACATTATCTCAGCAGCACAAAGGAGCTTCTCTAAAACAGACAACATGCTGGCACATAAAGCAAATATTTAACTAGTCCAATGTATCCTATGCAACCATTGTGTAATAAAACATAAAATCAACAGCAAACAAAACTCTAAGTGAATAAACCCATGGAGATTTAACAACACAGTATTCAATGACGTATGGGTCAAAGAAGAAATAAAAGGAAGTATTCTTGAGAACAAGTGAGGATGAAGGCACAGCCCATGGGGCACACTGAAAGCAGAACTGTATATTTCAGTGTCTACATTAAAAATCAGAAGGCAGCTGGGCAGTGCTGGTGCATGCCTTTAATCCCACACTCTGGAGACAAAGGAAGGTAGATCTCTGTGAGTCTGGTCTACAGAGTAAGTTCTAGGACAACCAAGCCTACACAGAAAAACTGTCTTGAAAAGCAAAAACAAACAAACAAAAATCAGAAATCATAGATAACTTAATGATGCAATTCAAGAATTTAGAAAAACAAGAACAAACCAAGTGGCTTGTAAGAAATGATAAAAATCAAAACAAACTAATGACATACAAACAAAACAATACAAAGAATCAATGAACCTTAGAGCTAGTTCTTTGCCAGGCCCTTCATCCAGTTAACAAAAAAAGATGACCCATATTAACAGAATCAAGACTATGAAGGAAAAATTACAACAGATAATCAAAATATAGAACATGATAAGGCAATAATTTAAAAACCCGTAGTCCATTAAGTTGGAAAATCTAAAAGAAACAAATGAATTTCTTGACTCCTGTAAACTATCAAAGTTAAGCTAAGAGGAGATCAACAACCCAAACACATAAACAGGGGTAAGCTGAAACAGTAATGAAAGCCATCATTCTGACTAAAAATGTCCAAGCTCGATGGACTCACAGCACAACTACCAGATTTTCAAAGAACTACAACCAATACTTTTAAATTCTTCAAAAAATAAAGGATCACTCTCAAACTCTTTTCTGTGAAACCAATATTACTCTACGACCCAAACCAGGTAAAAACACAATAAAAAACAAAACTACACACCAATAACCCTTTTGAACATAAAATAAAACATCCTCAAGAGCATACTGGTAAACTGAATACAAGCATATATCCAAGATATCAAGTTGATGTTGTCCTGAAAATGCAGTTAGTTCAACACACTTAAGTAAATAAACATAGTAAGTCATATAAATGGACTTAAAGACAAAAAAACAACAACATTTCAATGGCCACATGTAGTGGGATACCATCCCACTACATTTGTATAAAGCTCAGCAATTGGGCTGTATGAGAGGCAGGTGGAGTGAGGAGAGGAAGAGGAGAAGGAAGAGGAGCAGCTTGGGAGAGATGTAGGAGCCATAGAGAGCCACGCATGAATTGAGAGCAGTCCTGGGTAACAACTTATATTTAGGTTAGTTGATTGGTTAACACTTCTAATTGTGTGGGCATCTTGTTATTTGAGCATTACCAAATACAGAAAGCTATTGGATAATCTTTAAACATTTGAGTCTCATTTCTACCAGGAACCGCGTGGATGGCAGGATGGTCTGGATTCAGCCTAGCCTTGTGGAGACAGTGTGGTAGATAGGCAGAGCCATCTCCCACACTGGTGTCTCATGGGTGCCAGGGCTGGTTTCTGGCTGGCTGTTTCTAGCTGTGGTGCACCCGTGGCCTGCTGCTTCCAGCTGTGGAGTGCTTGGCTTCAGGCTGCGAAGCATGGTGGCCTGAGCTAGGCAGAGCTGCCACTGCTTAGATGGCCAGCCTGCACAGCCTCATTTATTAAATATTAACTGTAACAGCCACAGAAACATCCTTTGTCAAAATGCAACATGCTTTCAGGATAAAAGTCCTAGCATAGTAGGGCTGGAGAGAATATACCTCAACATAACAAACACTCTATATGCCTAGTTTACAGCCAACATTATCCTATATGGAGAAAAATTTAAAGCAATCTTCTAATCAGGAACAAGATAGGGCTGTCTGCTACCCCAGTCCTTTTCAGTATAGTGCTAGAAGCACTAGCTGAAGATGAGGTAAGAAGAGAAAATGTAAAGGGTACAAACAGGAGAAGTTGTTAAATTACACCTGTTTGCAGATGGTTTGATACTGCACATAGGAGATCTCAAAATTTCTACCATAAAACTCAGAGAAAACAATTTCAGCAAAGTGGCAGGGTGCACAATCAACTTAAAAAAATCAGTAGCCTTTCTATACATCAGCAAACACTAGGACTTCCCTCTAGAGTAGCATCAAACACAGTAAGATATCTTTGAGTAAACCCAACCAAGGAGGTAAAAGACCTCTACAATGAAACCTTTAAATCTCTGAAGAAAATTTGAGAAAAAACATTTGAAAAATGGGAAGATACCCCACATTCATGATCAGTGTTATGAAAATGACCATCTCACCAAAGTAATTTATATAATCAATTTAATCCCAATCAAAATATCCACAACATCCTTCACAGAAAAACAAAAGAAAAACAAAAAACAAAACAAAAAAACCTCAGATCCAAGAGGAACTAGAAAAGACCCCAGATAGCCAAAACAATTCTGAAGAGACTGTTATTCTAGACTTGTAATAAAACTTGGTACTGGCACAAAAATAGACATGTAGATCAAAGGAATCAAAGAGTCACAAATATGAATATTAGTATTCATAACTACTGTCTTCTGATTATTTGACAAAACACAAGAAACATACCCTGCAGAAAGACAGCATCTTCTATAAGTGCTGGCAAAACTAGATGTCTACTCATGAAATTACACCTGTATCTATCCTGTTGCACAAAAATTAGATCCAACTGGATCAAAGACCTCAATTTTAAATCTGAAATGCTAAGCTTCTAGAAAACATAGGCAAGTACCCTAGAAGATACAGGTGCTAGAACTTTCTGAACATGACTCCATTAGCCAAGAGATTAAGACCAGCATTTGAAAAGCAAGACTACATAAAATTAAAAAGCTTCCATACAGCTAAGGAAACAGTCAACTGGGTAAATTAATATTCAGATTAATATTTGGATTAATATTTAGAATATAAAAGGAACTTAAAAAACAGAGTCAAGGAAACAAATGACTTGATTGAACAATGGACTAAGGATCTAAACGAGAAAGAATAAATAAAAATGGCTAAAAAAACTTCAAAAAGTGTACGTCATCCTTAGCAATTAGGGAAATGAAAATTTAAAACAACTCTGAGATTTCACCTCACCACAATCTGAATGTCTGAGACAACCAAGCAACTGACAAAGGAACCTGCATCACTGTTGGTGGGAATGCAGACTGGTGCAGCCACTCTGAAAATCAGTGTGGTGAATCCTCAAGAAACTGAAAATTAATCTACTAAATGACCAAGCTTTTTAATATATATATGCCCAAAGGCCTCTCGCATATATCCACAGATATATGCTTAGCCATGTCCATTACTGCCCTATTCACAAAAGCTAGGAAATGTAAACAACCTAAATGTTCTTCAACAGATAATTGGATAATGAAAACATGGTACTTATGTGGTACTTATATAATAGAATACTATTCAGCTGTAAAGAAAAATGAAATTTGCAGGTAAATCAATGGACCTAGAAAAGATTATATTGAGTGAGGAAACCAAGACCCAGAAAGATAGATGCCACATGTTCTTTTTCATCTGTAGTTCCTAGCTCGAAATCTTCAGATGTGAGTATATAACACAGAAACGGAGAAGTGGAAAGGAACCATATAAATATGTGTATGTAACAATTTTTTAAAAGAGACTATCAACTTGAAAGGCGGGCTTGGTAGGGACTTAAGGGAGTTTAGGTGAGAGGGATTAAAGGGAGGAAAGGGAGGGTAGAAAACGATGTGATTCTGTTTCAATTAAAAACATTTTAAAAAGTTAACTGAATAATAAATCATACGGTGGTGCCAAACTGCTTGAAGCAGGGCTGATCCATGATAGTTTGAAGGCTTTTTGGAATGAAAGATCTCTCCATTTGAATACCATCTTGAATTGAATACTGAGTATCTTTAATCTCATAATCTGAAGACTGAAAACTTAGCATCAATTCACAGCTGCTGAACAAAAGCAGTACTGTACACTACAGCCTAGGACACAGTAGAATGACTCAAAAAACCAAACCAAATAAAAATAAAACAAACAGGAACAAACTGTACTTTGGCTTTGCTACTAGGCTGTGCATTGTTGGCCATCCCAGACAGCTTGTCACTGTTCTCAGCTTTGGGATAGGTATCTCCTGAACAGATGGTCCCTTCACCTTCTAGGTCAGAAAGCATGAAGATACCGAGTCGCACCTTAGAACTGACATTTTGAAAATAAATTGGAAACAGAAGCTAATTCTCAGGGAAATCTACAAAGGAACAAATTAGAGAGGGAAAGAAAGGCAGACTCAAATACCTAACAGGGTCATCCAGAGAGCTTGCCTACAATCCCTAATATGCAAAAGAAAATGAGGGGAAAACCCCCCGTACACACATCCAAGTACTCCCCACCCGCCCCCCCAGACCTAGAGCTCTGCTGTTGGACTCACGCTGACATCGTGTTCAAGCTCAGCCAGTAAGTCAAACTGGTGTCTTTTTGTCCCTGGCATTTCTGCAGGAATACCGGACCACACCTAGGACAGAACACATTGCGAAGGTCGTTTTAAACCTTAATACAAAATTCTCAACACATTTGAAAAAAACCTCCCATCCAGCCTGCCTGTCAATGGATGCTGGGACAGGTTCAGTTTCTCCCCAGGGACCTCTTTCCCACTAGTACACACCTACCTGTGTCCACATCCATCCCCTGAATGTGCTGCTCTGTACAGTTGAAGCACTGTGTCAATCAAGAGAATGTGAATGCAGAAGTCTGGTTGTGTCTAATAATGTTTCAAGGAGTAAGTACCCTGAGCCTCCAAGTTACTAACATTATATACAGGAAACATATCTATAAGGTTGGAGAAAAAATTCTGGCAAGCTCTGCAAAGAACACATTTTTTTTTTCTTTCATCTTGTACACAGAATCAAACTGGAAACCTAAGGTGAGGAGCATTGGAGCAGCTTGTATGAGTCTCAAGAGAAGGTCTGTGGTATCCTCAGCCCAGAAACAGTGAATGTGGACATGGATGCCTGCCTCACACCTAAACACACTGATCTTTCAGTGATTCCTCAACTTAACTTGAACTGTTAAATTAACTGATCAACTAGTAGTTCCAGTCATCAAGCAAGAAGAACCCTGATTCTGTTTCTGAACAATAGGTCTGTCAACACCAAGGTAAACACACTGCAGAAATGCATAGTGAAACCCTATTATTGAAGAGACAACACATTTGTATTGAAGGATATAAGAAATCAAATTGGAAATGACCTAGAAATTTCTTCCCTGCTAGCTAGCTTTCACTGTTAGTCACTGGAGGTGAATAGATTCATACAACAGTGGACCCTGTGTGCTATTAGACTGATCTGCCAGTCAAAGTACATCTACTTTGTACAACAATGACTTTCCAACTGGATCTGAAGCCTACTCCAGAAGGAGGAATTAATGTCTTGTCCTATTAATCTGGTCAAAAGCCCAAAGCTGGGGAAGTCCAAGGCCTTAGGTGAAAGCCTATTACTGCTGATTTGCTAAAGAGCTTAGTTGTCAATCTGCTGTCTAAATATATACGTTTAGACCCATAGATAGGTGCTGCCCTTAACCTTGTTCAAAGAAGCTGCTTCCTGAAGTACAAAGAAGGTCCTAACAGTCTTCAGGATGGGCAGGAGTGTCATGAAATATTGTCTCCCATGAACTCACAGCAGCTGTGGCTGCCTGCATGAGACTTCCACAAGATTCTATTATGAATAGGAGGGGCCCCGTGAGGCTCTAATCCTAGCTATGAAACTACTGGCAACTTGTTGGGTTGAGATGCCATTTTCCTTCAAGGGTGTGGCATCTGATGGGTTACTCAAGCTCTTGTGGATGGCCTACATCCATTTTCCATGCAGGCAACACTAATTGGAGTCTGGGTTTAAAAGAAAAGGAGGATTTGAAGTTGGGAGGGGGAAGTACTAACAAAGTCCAGGGTAAAAAGAAGAGGAGATTTCTGTTGGATATGATCAAAATACATTATCTGCGTGTATAAAACTATCAAAAATTTTTAAAAAGTTATTTAAGAAAAGGCAATAATATATCTTTATATATCATTTACACACTTTCTGAAAACGTGAAATGATTGAATATTGATAGGAAGTTGAATGGCTCACAATATTTTATGGTCAAACATTTTCAGTTAAAAAGTGTATGTAAACCTTCACAGTAGAGTCCCACGAGGCAGAATACAGCCTGTCATTATGCCAACGGATCTTACTGACAGCATCATCATGTCCCATCAGAGTGTCCTGGCGTCTTCCAAATGCTATGGAATAAAAATAGCTAAAAGATAACAACAACTATTAAAATAATATCCAAGCTTAACTTTAAGATTCTTAAACATGCATTTAAGAAACAAATACTGTTTCTTAAATTCTAAACTACTGAGGCTTGCTGCAATTACAAATTTATTGCTCTTGTATTATTAAGTGAAAAATATTCAATGTTTTAATTTGAAATTAGATTATTTCCCAACTGTCTTAGCTACATTTCACCTGAGTTTAAAAGCTAGAAAAATAGATTCTAACTGGAGAAATACTTACACTAACATAATGGCATCTGAATCCAGTAATACTGTCCTCATCCCTAGTGTGTATTTTCTAGTGGAAGGCCCTTTATCCCTCATATCTACATGTGAGACAGCCACTAAGTATGCAGATTTATTACAAAGAAGCAGGCACGGATACATACACGTTGTTATCCCAAGAAGAGCTTATGACAGTGGTGTCTCCTGGCAAAAGTAAACAAGATGATAAAGCCTGAAATAGAAAAGGTTTGATATCAAACATTTGCAGTAATTAGTAGATCCATCACTGGTATGCTAAGATTGATGTGAGAGTCTTCCTAGAGTGACTTTCCTCCTAACTACCCAGGGCTCAGAGCTGGCTAAGTCTCCATGTAGTGCTTTCTCCCAAATGCTCAATTTGCCAGAATACACTGATCCATCTTGATGCCTCTTTGCTCGCACAGGGCTGGAGGAATGTTGCTAATCTGGAATAGATCATGGCGGGAGGGTAATTCTTAAGAATGAAATAAATGCCCCTCTCTGTTTGGCAAACATGTGGCTATGCAAATTATACAAGGTTCTTAATGAAATTTCAAAATCTCCTGGAGGATTGATATTAAAAATCAGGCACATTCTTTAATAACTTGTTTTATAGCACTGAGCAATCAGAAGTGCCTAAATTATTTAAGTAGTACAGAACTACTTCTTTTCTGATAGCTAAAAGAAAGGATAGACTTATTAAGGAGAATTCTACTGGGTATTCAAGATTTTTGGTTAAAATGAAATGACACTAGTATTAAAAAAAAGAAGCAAGTAGAAACTAGCCCTCCCTCCCCTCCCTCCCTTATGCCATCCCTCCTTCCGCATCCAGGATGCAGGCAAGGCCTTGCTCATGCTAGGCAAATGCTCAAATCCTCAATGGACTTCTACCATAACGCTGATAAATGAACTTACCATATTTGAAAATGATATACTTCTTTGTAGCATTTTGGATTCCTTAGAAAACATCTTCAAAGTGGAATCTAAGAGTTAGAACATAAATACAAAAGACTTCCTAAGATGCCAAACGATAGCTGCCCCTGCTTACTTACTGCTGGAGGGCAGCATCAGCGTCTTTTCACAGACAACTAAGTATGTATAGACAGAACAGTCTGAGACCTTGCCAGCACTAAGATCCTCTGAGCTATAGCTTCATGATCAGCTGAAACCCCACAGTCTCAGCACAGACAAGATATACCACGGCATTTCCAAACTCCTACTTCATATACAGTGAAGCCCCACACATAAGTGAGTGCAAAGAGGGAGGCAGAAACCTTAATTTAAACTTAAACCTAAGTTTAAGGAAGATTTACAGGTGTGTGTTTGTTTCTTTGTTTTGTTTTTACACGCATGTATGTGAATACGACATGTGTCATGTGTGTCTGCTGCCTGTGAAGGCCAAAAGGTTGTTGGATTCCTTAGAACTGGAGTTCTAGATGGTTATGAACTAGCATGTGTGTGCTGGGAACCAAACCCATGTTCTCTAAAGAGTAGCTAATATTTTAAACCACTGAGCAATCTCTGCAGGCCCGATTTTTATTTTAAGAAAACAAAGATTTTGGCAATAGAAGTAATTTTTAAAAATGAATGGCCTAATTATAGAGTGACATTCTTGTTCTGAACTACTTACAGATGAGAAGTACTTTTATTCATTTTTCCTTTCTACTGAGGAAGAAAAATGTTTTGTTGTATAAGGAATAGTGCTTAAGGCAGGCAGTGAAAATCCTGAGCTTAGCCTAACACACTCCTGTTTTATAAAGCTACAGACAGAGTAGCGTTTGAGTTGAAAAGAAAAGCAGGATTGAAGATTAAACTGGAAGGGAGCAGGGTGCAGACACAGAGTCTTAAATGTGCCTCTCAGATGCTCTTAGTCCCTGTGGCAGATCAGATGCCAATCAAGTGAGTACATTGGCTGGGAGAATTACTAACTCATAAAAGAATAATAATGCAGGAATTAAGATGCTCAAATGTTTAATGTCCTTGACTAAGATACTGTGCAAATTTACCAATACAAACTCTTATGAATCCAGAAGAGAGGCTCAGTGACAGAGCAGTCGCCTACCATGGGGCAAAAGCCTCAGAAACAACCTTCAGTACTGCAAACAAACCCTAGACTCACAACTTACTTTAATGTTGCTACAGATATTCCATGATGCATAACCTACTTCCTGTCTATTCAACATGGTACACTGTCAGAATGAAATTTAAAGAAATTTCTTCTCTACAATAAAACTTCACATTTCAACCTAATCTTTGCAACTGAATTGATGGGACAATGTATAAACCTGGAGCCTCAGGGAGACTTTCCTTACCATTAACTTGAAAACAAACACAGAAGACAAAACACAACAGCACGTGACCTTTTCTTGAGGGGTGGTATTAATCTTGGGACATTCTCCCAATTGCTTTTGATTCTTTTGGGCAGGTCTGAGTGCTAACCACAAAGTCTACTGAAGACAATTTGACCATTTTACAGAACCAAAAAGCAGCCACGACACTTTTCGTGAAACCAACTATGCTCTCCTGCTTCTTAGAAGTTGCCAGGTTAAAGACAGCATAAACGCTAATCTCACAGGTGGTGTGTCCCAAGGATGTTCACAAAACCTAAGCACACTGTGTATCTGGGGAAGAAATCTTAACCTCGAGGCAAATATCACTAAGCCAGTGATATAAATCCTGAAAATCCAAACTTCAGAAATTGAAACAAAAATACAATTTTGACTTTAATGAAAATCTGGCCTTTTAACCTAGCAAGTTCACAAAGCAGTGGTACAACGCTTACTAAGCTGGGGGAGATCTGAAGTGTGATGGTCATAAACGTAAAGTTCATGGTTTACAAGGTCACGTAAGTACAAAAATGTGAAAGATTTGACAGACCATGTCAGAGAAACCCTGCTAACCGCTAGTTCTCAACCTTCCTAGCGCTGTGAGCCTTTAGTACAATTCCTCATGTTGCTGAAAGCCACGTCCATAAATCATTTTCATTGCTACTTCTTAACTGTAATTTTGCTACTCTTATGACTTGTAATGTAAACATCTGATATTCAGGATATCCCGTGGAAAGATCATCTGACCCCCAAAGGGGTTGCAACCCAAAGGTTGAGAACCACTTCACTAGTGTCTTTGTTAAAGGACACAAGTGTCTGCTGGCTGATTAATGGTCAACACAGCAGCTGGAAATCTTCAAAATGGAGGCGGATGTCTTCCTCCTTCCAGAGCAGCATTGTAGGCACCCTGATTGTTCAGTGTGGCATCCTACACATTCATTCTGTACACACTGGACAAAGTTCTATTTTATGGAATCCAAGATGTAATGTGAAAAGTATGAAATGCCACAGATAACAAGCCACAGTAACAAAATGTGGTAGCAGTGACTCATCTACCTGGATGTGGTTAGCTGTACAGTATCATTTCTAACCTCCATGCATGGAGACTACAGTTTCCTGTGGGAATCCAGGACTGAGAAGAGGAGCTTTGTGGAAAAGAATCACTAGCTCAGTCAGAACTGGCTGTTTTGATGCTAAAGCTGAGCAATTCTATTCCCCTTTCACTGGGACATACTTCAATTAACAATGCTACACACATCTCCAGGAAAATACACATGCTGTAAGAAATGAATATTGCTAATGTTTTTATAGATCAGGATAGCCAAAGTCCAATGTATCATTAAGATATAGTTTTAAGTCTTATCAATAAGGCACGGGTAAATTATCAATATATGAATTCAATGCCATGCTATATCCTGCAAAAAAAAAAAAAAAGAGCTATATGTCAAGGTAAACCTAGCAGCAAATCTCCACTCCACAAGCTAACATGCTTCACCACAACAGCCCAGGACTGCCTCAGCTCTGGCTACTACTCCACACCATTCTGAGCTCTGTAGGCCACACAACACACATGTGACCCCTTGAAGTAAGATAGCCTGGAGTAAGCAAGGCCATGGCCAAGAGACAGTTCCTGCCTTGTGACTTCACCCAGGAAACCATGGCAGCTTCAGGAAGCTTTTCGTTTTTTGACAAACTACAACCAATGTTTTCTAAAGTCTATTTTCTGTGGAGGCAGCACACGCCAGTAAAGCTTAGCTCAGACTCTGCTTGCAGCTGAACAGCTTTTCAGGCAGGAAGACATACCTTGTGAGGTGGTAAAGACTGAAGACCCATTGCAAGACACTGCTATCCCTGTAACCGCCCTGTTGAAAACCAAAGTTTATAGATCACTGTTAGCTAAGTGCGAGGACACCTGCTCCACTTCATTTTGTCTGAGTGGCTTCTTCACTTGAACTGTTCTCTGCTTGTCTCTGCCTCCACAAGCTCTTCCTTCGCAATGCCCACCTTTGCTCAGACAATACCCTGCTACTAGAAAACATTTCCCCTCTTTGCTCTCCAAGCTGCAGCAGACAATGCTGAACATGTTTCTGGCAAGTGCAAACTGCTTCTCCTACAATCCTGCCTTACCTGACCATCCCCAAGGTGATGGCACTTACTCTTTCCCATCGCTGGCTTCATTTCATTCAGAATACACTGTCCCTAGTGTCTGCCACTGGTGTACATATGTGGGTCTTGTAGCCCCCTTAACGAACATCCAAGGTCAATCATTAACTGTTACTTGTATAAGAATTAGAGGTTTATTCACACCTTCACTGTATTATCTTGGACTGTAATGTCCCTTCCTAGATGCCTTTGGAAGGGGATTAAGGGAAGAAAAGCTAGCATGTGTCTGTGTGGGGGTGTGCATGTAGAGTCCCACAGCTGATGCCAGATGTTTCCCTTGATGGCTCTTCACTTACTTTATTGAAGCAGAGTCAGTCTCTCCTTGAATCTCCAGCTAGCCAGCTTGCCCAGGGACCCTCTATCTCTGTTTCTAGAGTTCTGAGATTACAGATGGTTACCCTACCTTCCTGGCTTCTAGGGACCTAAATTCCAGCCCTGACACTTGCACGGCCTTACCATTATTATTACTATTATTATTTTATTATTATTTTATTATTATTATTATTATTAAAGAGGTACTTCTTCCTACACTTTCAGTAAATTCAAAGCTTGATGACAAACATTCTTGTTTCGTAATTTCCTACGTTTTAAGATTTTAGGGGTGGTATGTACAGCTTAGAGGTACAAAACTACAGGCTGTCTGCAGCCCAATCTCATCCTAGAACAACATATGACAGAAACGATAGTATGAGAGAGCATGGTAGCCCAAACTCATTTTCCTTTGCTACATGGACTTCACATCACAAATCCCTGCACACATTTTGCAGGCTAGAAACCACAGAAGGAAATTGGATGGACACTTTCCCACGTGACTTGTCTTTTATAGTTTACTCCCATGCCAAACCCCAGGGTTTATATAAGACTAGGGGTTCTCAACTTTCCTAATGCTGTGACCCTTTAATACAGTTCATCAAGTTGTGGTAACCCCCCCACTATAACATTATTTTTATTATTTTATAGCAATTTCATAACTGTACGTTTGGTATAGTTATAAACTGTAATGTAAATATCCAATGTGACCCCCAAAGGGGTTGTGACCCACAGGTTGAGAACTGCTCGATTAGAAGCCATACGAGGTACTCTTACTCTTTGTGGACCTTGTACTGCTCGTGTAGCTGCAACTTGGTGATATTGTTCCAGGCCAGAGTTTTGCTTTCCTCAGTCAGGTCTTCAAATGACTCCTCCCCTGGAGAAACTACATGAAACAAGCGCTAAGTGAGTCAGTAAACTACAGAAAGGCAACTCTTTCAGATCCACAGGATATTCTGTTGATGTTAAGGAACCAAGAAAACCCAGCAAAATATGCTTTCAAAGGGACTTATCATACAGCCCAATATTAGCCAAGAAAAAAAAATTATACATAGATCATTGCATTGAAAGCTCCAGGCTTCCCAGTGTTTGCAAAGTCCAGACTTGACCAGTTGCTTAGGCATCACAGGAAATAAAAATCTGAGTGGCCATTTCCTTTTCAGCCCCTTTCTTTGGAAAACCCAACAGTTGCTTAGGAACACTGATGCTTTATTTTGGTTTTGAAGATGAGAAAGAAAACAAGAACTCAAATAAGGGTTCTTGTTCCTCAAGGGAAGAAGTAAAGCTCTCACTTCTGCATGAAGAGAAGCTGGAGTATTCACCTGTCTAAGGTGGGCACACAATGGTGGTTGTGACTGAGGAGGGCAATAACCTGACTTTACCCTGCATGTCTTCACGTGTACTTCCCTGTATGTCTACACGTGTACTTCCCTGTATGTCTACATGTGAACTTCCCTGTATGTCTACATGTATACTTCCCTGTATGTCTACATGTGTACTTCCCTGTATGTCTACATGT